GTCCTTAACAGTCAGAAATGGGAGCTCTAATTATTAAAATGAGTGGCAGCAGGAGAGGGTCCTCACCTATAGAGAGGCTTAGAGAGGATCAATGAAAGCATCTGTTAGGGCAAGATAGGTGGGTAGCTCACAGGAGCGTGAGCAATTTATACATTAAATAAAAAAGATGATTACAAGAGCAACTATATCCTCAAAAGTCCTGATACATTGTCTGGTTTCCATCTGAGTCAGATTTTATGATCAGAATGTAGGATATACTTTCAAGAGGAAGGCTACCATACCATGTTGAATCTTGCTTCTGCTGTCAAGAATAAATGACAAAGCTCAGTCTGGCAGCACTGGCTTATAATTCTAGCTACTCAGGAGGCTGAGGCAGAAGGGGAGGATTACAAGTTGAAGGTCTGTCTAGGCTATGGAGTGAGTTCAAGGCTACCCTGTTTTGAAATTTTAAAAAGGAGATTTTGGGCTGGCATATTGCTTAGGGGTAGAGGGCTTATCTAGCATGGACAAGGCCCTGGTTCAATCTGCAGTACCCCAAACAACCGATAAACAGTAAGCGGAGTCCTCTTTGGGTGCTGGTGGTAGTCCACAGAGAATCACTCCTCACAGCAGGACTGAATCTAATGGAGCTGACAACACGTGCCAGGTCGGGACGTGTAGCAGCTGAGTGCTTTCCTTTCCTTCCTTAAATAGGGAGTGTCCCCACTGGTGACTCTCTGCCTGTCCCACCATTTTCTCTTGGGTATTCAGATGCAGAGAAACTGCTCAAGGACTGTACCTGGGGACCACCCTGCAGGAGTGACATCTACATGTGATTGAGATGATGCAATCTTGGAGCTGAAGCCTCAACCAGAAGCTGAGATAGGACTAGACTCTGGAACAACAGTGTGTGTGTTTTGCATGTCACAATGTGTAATGATTTTATGTGTCACTTTACCTGACCAGATGCCCAGCTGATGGGTAAAACATGCCTGAGTATGTCTGGGAATGTTTCATACTGATATCTTAGTCAGTTGAGTAGAAGAGACTGTCCTCACCAGTGTGGGCAGGCACCTTCCAAAAAGCTGAGGAGGGCCTTGCAATGAAAAGTGGAAGAAGCGAATGTCTTCTTTCCTCTGGAGCTGGAACATCCATCCTCTCCCAGCCTCAGGCACCAGAACTCCTGGTTCCTGGGCCTTCACTGAATGAATTCTGTCCTTGGCTTTTCTGAGTATCCAGCCTGCAGGTGGCAGATTGGGGACTTCTTGGCCTCCATATTTCTTTGTGTGTACCCTGTTGGTTCTGTTTCTCTGGAGAACCCTAGGTAATACAGGTGTGTTAACTCTCTAGATAGCCACAGTACCACTTCCCATCCTGTATACTCCTCCAGAATGTTGTCAGAGCATGTTGGACATGACTGTGTGGCTTTGTCATATGAGGTGATGAACTCTCTTGAGGTCCCCTACGCTTCAGAGTGTTTGCCACTGGGGCCCCATCCCCATGCTGCAGCACAGCAACCCCCTTGGAGGTATCTGATCAGCCACCCGGGGTGAGGAGCTTTTTCTTTTCAGAAGGGGTGGATCTTGCTGTGTAGCCCAGGCTGTCTTTGAACTTGTGATCCTCCTACCTCGGCATGTTGGGACTATGGGTGTGTACCACCACATCAAGTCTATTAGGCTCTTAAAAAATGGAAGCCCTTGTCAAGAAACTTCAGTGGACTTTCATATGAACATTTGAAAATTGCCCTGTTCTGACTTTTTTCTAGTTCCCTGTCTAGAACTTGTAATGCTAATTACTCTTGCCTTTACTTCTCCTTCA